CCTTGTTCCTCTTTGGCTGGTGGTAGCTGTCTTTCTGTACAGCATTTGGTGGTACGCCTCTGTAGGTTTTTATATCTGTTGACTTTTTTAATTGTCCGCTTACCTAAATGCACGGACTCTTAACACGCACACACACACACGCACACACACACACACACATGCACACACACACACATGCACACACACACACACACACACACACACACACACACGCTACACATACATGCACTGCTCTCAGAAGTCTTTAAACTGAATTAATTTAGATGTTTTTAAACGCATACAAATTGTGTATGCAAGAGCTTCACTGTAATGAAAATGATTTATGACAGATTATCAGGATTAGGATTACATGCAATATTTTTAAATTTGAGAATGAGGTTAGGGATACTCTCTCATATCACAATTACTATTAGAGTGTATGCATATTAAAAAGGGATTGTCTTTTTTTAATTTTCTTTCACAAATTGAATAGCAAAACAAATTTTGGAATTTTAATTTTTTATAAAAGCACACTGGTGTTTCACAGTGAGATCACTTAATGTGCTTCCCATGACAAGTCAATCTCACTTAGGCTCAAAGCTAAAGAAAATCTCAGTGACCACATTTTCACTGACTGCAATATTAATAAAATAATCTGAATAAGATTATGATTATGACTAAACTAAATACTGAATAAGCAACATTTTCTGATTAGTCCATGATAATAATAAGGCCTGGAGCACAGTACCAACAACACGGCAGCTAACGACATGCAGTCCACTAACACCATAAAACAACCAGCTCACAGAAAAACACAGGCTCCAGGTAAGGATACAAAACAACAGTAAAGGTTTATGTGCTGAAGCCCATCAGACCAAACAGGTTCAGATGATGCTGAGTAAGAACAAAGTGAGCATTAGTAAAGCTGGAGAAACACAGAGAAAGTCACGTTAGCTCACCGGCTAACGCTGAGCAGTTGCTAATGTTATCTAGTGCAAAGTTATATGCTTTCCACATTTCTTCACCAACTAATGCAAACCATGTTACTATCTTGTGTACCACTGTTGATTTAGCCTGTAAGAAAGGATCTAACAGTAAAGCAAATGTGGAGCAATTTGTTTACTAAAGTTAGCCTATAGTGATGCAGCCAGTAGCAGCCAGCTAACGCTACAGTAGCTCGGACCTGCTGCTTTTTGCTTTGTAACGTTCAGTTTAGGTTTATTGTGGTTTTACCAATACTCAGGTAGACAGCTTCTCCACCTCTCAGTCGCTGTAATGCCGCATTCAGACCAAACGCGAATTTTCGCCTCGCGACGCTTTCCTCACCTGAGTACATTCGCTGCAAGTGTTCACACACAACGCGAGAAGGCGATTTTAACGCGATAACGTTAATAAACACAACTTGCCATTACTACAGCTGTATGAACCCAAAGTAAACATTTTGCTGTGATTAAATAGCAATAAACAGATCAAACTGATGCTGAAATAACTACAACATGAATTCATACTTTGTCAGGACTGTCACCAAGACAGCAGGACAACAACTTCTAAAATGTTTGTTTTCTGAATGGAGTTCGGATCGATCAGGGCTATGCTATGCTAACTTGGTCACAGTAAAGTACAACGATAGCTGGACTAAAGTTACATACACATGTTTTCTTAACTCACCAGGTAGTTCAACCTCCTTGCTTTCTTTTCAAGTAGTGCCAAACGACGCTAACAACACTGGAACCGGATGTGCACAGAAGCTAGCTGCTGAGAAGCTCGAGTGAAGATAAATCAACGTTGTAATCCTATAAACTAAAGTAAAAAGCTTATTTAATAAAAGCAGTTTACTCTGAGCTCCTCCCTCGAGCAAACGGCGTAGTTGCGAGCAGTCCGACCATGGGGGTTTATTTGTCCGAAAGCTGGAGCGCTGCTTCCTGTTCATCTAGCCCAAGTTTAGCAGCTCTCAGCCAGTCAGCAGATTTTCAATCGCCCGCTCTGCCTTGCCCTCTCCACACAACGCTCTGAAGCTGTTGGTGACGTACGGACAATCTCAACGTCGATAGGCTATCGCGACTCAGCGTCATGCGAATTTCTCGCTTGAATTGAAAATATTCAACTCGTGAATTTCTTCACGTTGCCTTCGCGTCGCCGCACCGCCGCCTGACAGGAAATCGCGGCTCTACGCGTCTTTGCATTGACTTTGTATGTAAACTCACTGCCCTGAACGCTCGCTTCGCGTTTGGTCCGAAAGCACCAATACCAGCGTGACCCACATAACATAAAACACTGCAACAAAACGGTCACAACAACCCAGAGGAAGAGCCATCCACTATCACTAGTTACAGTAAAGTTACTTACTGCGGTCTAACTGATGAACGTTGCAGTGGGAGTTTACCTGAGTTTCCAGTTCTGTCTGTTCTCCCTGTCTCTCTATAGCCGCTGTCCCTCTGCCTTTTTTCGGGTGTATTAAGGCGATATGCGAGTGGCTGCGCTTTTCCCTGATTGCAAAATGACTATTAGCATCATTGACAATCTGTCACTAATAAGCTAAATTTCTTACAGGTTGTTTTATGCGCTGAGTAAGGTTCTTTTACCACCTACTGTAGCATGAAATTATGTCTCCGTTTATGCTCCATTGCGTCGCAGTTTGACACCTAGCTTCTTATTTCCCATCATCAGTAATGGTTTACAAATGAGATGTGAAGGATAACCAAATTAAGGGATGCTGTCGACTGAAGGTTTATTTCACTCTCTCATGAGCGCTCTATTCTGAACACATGTCACTCACTGGAGACCGCTATCTGACAGTATGTCTCCTGCTAGAGAGTGAAGAAATGTTTATTTGTGCTAAGTTTTTTTTCTCCATCTTTAAACTGATTCACCACGCCTGTTAGAGGTGTAAAAAATGGCTTACATGCCTAATCTACATGCCATATTTTACCATTGCCTAATACATCTACCAGGTTTTCTGTGAAAAATAACTAGATAAAGATTATCTTTGATATAATATTAACATCTCTCAATTCAGTGTGGCTTTTTTCAGCAGTTTTGTTTGTGCTCTGATTCATATGTCAATTGGATATTGAAAATTATAACATTTGTAATATGTGTATCAAACTGTAATTACTCCAACAGATTGCTGACTAACATGTTTTAATGATGGTAAATCCTTTTGCTTGAAAAATGGTAATGATGAAAAACACTGTCCTCTTGAACTTCTAGCTTAGCTGTTCAAGAACTCACATTGATATAACTGTACAAGTCATAGTTTTGAGTCACTGTGCAGGACGCAAAATGCCAAATAGTGTATTCTTCTTTATTATAAGACATATACGCTTAAATAAGACAAATGATAACATATTCTACAACTCTCACTAACCTTAATTTCTTATACTCACCCTTTCTTGTCACATCTTGTTTGCCAGCTCAGTTTTTCTGAACAAAGAATACAAAATAAAAAATGGTGTGATTAAATGGGATGCGTCGGTGGCTGTCTAGACGTCACTCAAATACATGTAAATAAATACAAAGTTTACAAGAGAGTATTTGAAGAAATAAGATTTACTTTATCTTGATAAGATTTTAATGATGCATGCCATAAAGTTCTACAGGACGATTGTGTGGTGAGTGAGTTTGTGTTTGTGTGTGTGTGCCATTTGTAGTGTACTGTAAGTCTGATGTGTGTGCGAGTCAGAGTTGTGAATAGAGCTGCGATCAGAATGCACCTGGTAACCAGTTTGTCTTGCAGAACCATGACATTACATCCATTACACCAACCAACACCCGTCTCAGTTATGCTCTCTTACACAAGGTGTGACCGCTTCTCAAAGCAAGACAAAGCAAATACTGTACATTTGTTCTGCCTTGATTTTCTTGGCTAAGGGACTGTATCTGTAGGAGGGTGCGTTACACAGTATCTCAGAGGGTTGTATTTTATACACCGTACAGTGTACTGTGTATTGTCTGATAGGATTATTGCTGTTTCACTGAGATTTCTTAATTCCCCTAAACGGTAAAGCAGATATATGATATTTCCCAGTAGTCCAGCAATCAAAGTTGTTCCCATTGATTTACAATAGTACAAATTAAACCCAGCTAGATTCATCTGGTTCATTTATTACAAGTGCCAAAATATGCTTTAGCTAATAAAAGATAGCACACAAACCCAACACTCCCTGTAGCTTTGTTTCACAGTTAAGTCTCAAATGACAATGACTATGGTAGTTATGAAAAGTAGGTTTTAATTGAGAATAGATGTAGTCAGTCTATAAAGGTAGTTTGAAGGTGAAAACCCACAGGTGCTTATTGCGGTATGGTTATACATCACACTTTCATAACAATTAATTACAGTAAGCAACTTTCCTGTGCCCTTCTGGGAATATAAAAGCAGTGCATTATAAACCTTGGAAAGTGGCTTATGTTGGGAGAAGACAAGCCCAAGTGGAATTAATGTTGCATGCATGTGTTTATGTAGCAACACATACAGGCAGGGGCAGTGTCCTGATTGTCTGGTCAGTGAGTGTTTGTATGCCTCTGTGTATTCCACAAATGCTCTTTAGTTTACTTCAGCTTCTCTCCCTTTTTACCATGTCTTTTTTTATTCCTCTCTTTCATCCATGCTTCCTATTCAAGGTTTTTTCCTGTTCCCCATCCCTACATATCACTAGGCAGGTCTGCTGTGCTCATAAGTGAATCAGTCATACCCCAGTGCAAAATAATTACTCTTAACGCACAGACATAAAAGATGCACAGAGTGCCAACCTCTCGTCTTTCACTGTCTGTCTGTCTTCCCTGCTCTCTCTCTTGGTTTTTCTTATAGATAGATAGCATACATGCTTGTGTTTGAGTGAACATGCAAGGTAACACATGATTTGACTATTTAACTACACAAGCATATCTTCATTTGTACCTCTTTTTTACATACCCCCCCTTTTGATGTCAGCTGCTCAACGTGTGACTTAAGTCAAGCTGAACATGATCCTTAAGTGCTGTCGTCCTGATGTTAACCAACCTTTGACCTTGCGTCTTCTCAGGTGCTGAACCCTGCCTGCTCTGACACCGTGACTCCAGACAGACACAGTGGCTGACTCTGAAAGAAAAGTGGGCAGATAAAGAGATAGGAGGACAGAGGGAGGTGAGTGGAATGAAGAATGGAATCCATTCTTATATCTCTGTCGATATATCTCTGTATATTCTATCCTGCGCTCTGTCTTGCTCTGTACGCGAAAGGGCTGCTGCAGGGTTGGTGGCTTACCGTTTACATAGCAGCCCAATCAGACAGAAAACAAGAGAAGCCCTGTAGCTGAGAGGTTGGCTCACACCCCTGCTGAGCCCCAGACTGAGTGTGTTTGTCTGTGCCTGTGCGCATGTAGATGTGTTAAGGTATTTGCAGCTTCATTCAGCCAGAGTTCATGTGGAGAGAGTCAAGATTATCATGTTCATGAGAAGCCAATGTTTTTTTTATGTCTGCAATTTCTCTCTACTTCGTGCTACAACTTCCCAAGAAAACCATCAAGCAAGACATCATATTTTGAGACTAATAAATGGAAGGGGAGTAAAATGTTGAGAGCTATTTTCAGACATACGTGTCTTCTGAGCAGCAACAATGGCAGCACACATCGGCCTTTTTTGCTCCTATATATAAACAACATGCCATCAATTTTCACATGCTGACCTCAAAGCCTTTGGAGGCCGAAAAGAGAAAGCTGTTAAAATCTTCTGTTTGCCTTTTATATCTCATTCCCTCCTACTGTATCTGCTCACCTATATGTATTCTCTGAATGAACAAAAGCCCCATGTTCATCCTGTGGTCTAGTCTTCAGTGTTAATGTACATTGAGGATATTTTGAGGTCAGACACATTTTTGTGATCACAGTTGGTCTGGGGGCTGTGGTCCGAGTGGTTGCCGAGTTCACCGACTGCTTTGGTAAACTGCCTACTTATGTATGTAAAGTAGCTTTTATGCAATTCACCCAGCGGCCTTCCACACTATCATCTCAGTGGGAGTGTTTTGGGGTCTGCGGGTGTGTGTTTATGTGTAAATAATTGATTACTGTAGAGGTTTTAGTGGATCGCTGGTAAGACTGAACCGGGCATGAATAGGCTGCTCCTCTGCTTTGCTCCACAGTGTGCATAACATAAGTATAACATGTATGCTGCTGCTCAGTGGACTCTCTTATGTTAAGTTGATTTAAGTTGTCTTAGTGCTGTTGGAACGATTAGTCGATGAATCATAGAATCACAGGAAATCCAAGCAAACGTTGATGGACAACAACTTTGATATGATATTAATCATTAAAGCCAAAATATCACGCATTAGCCGGGTTTGCTGCTTTTCTGTGTTTTATGTCAGCTTAAGATGTCACTTTGATTTCTGGTAAACTGTGATGGACATTTTTCACCATACTGAACACGTTTTACACTAAATGATAAATTGATTAAACTAATAATCCACGCATTAATGCATTAATTGATAGTGACAATCATCTGTAGTTGTCGCTCTAGTCTGTGTTATGTTTAACAGGTAACAAGCCAAGCTATGTTTTCTGGTTACTGGCATACATACTCGTTGTATTTATCCAACCAGAAATATTTTTCACATAAAGCCCCCCTTCTTTCCATCTTTCCCTCTTTTTTCCCACACTTTTCTCATCTGCTGCCTAAAGCACTTTTGTTTTCTCTGTTTATTTCTTCATCTTATCCTGTTCTGCCTTATTCATGCTTCTTCTTCTTGTGTGTCATTCCTTCTCTCTTTCTTGCCCCTTAGCCGCAGTGTCCTTGAGAAAGCAGTGACTTTGCCGGTGAGCGCAGCAGAGCGCATCTCTCTCTCTCTCTCGCTCTCGCTCTCTCTCGCTCACATGCTCTCCCATTGACACTCACTCAACCCCCCGAACACACACACACACACACACACACACACACACACAAATTTGGTAGGTCCATGGCAGCACTGTCAAGCACAACCAGCCCTTACAAGTCTCTTTTCTTTAGTCTCCATAAATAATTCATCACCAGTAACAGTGGCTGAACTTTATGCAAATATTGACAAACCTATTGCTGAGAAAATTTAGACAGTCGTTTCTTTTGGTGAGCACAGTTTTTGTCCACTTACTGTTTCCAGAAACATATAGTAAGACATCAACAAACTGCTGACGCAAGCGAAGTATCTCAAAGTCACGGCAAGATTGAGAGTTCTCCAAAATCAGTCGTTCAAACCGAAGTGAAAGGGAGTTATGTAGTTATTAATTAGTTAATAGTTAGCCTATCTTTCTTTAATAATGCTTGTGGCTGCTTGTCAATTACATCCCACACTGACATGCTGCAAACATAACAGATGACACTGTGTCCATTAAAAAGGCAAACAATAATTCAAAAGTTGAATTTTAGTTCAATTCACTTTCTTGGTTAGATAATGAGATGTTCAAGAATACTGAATTTAATGCTCTTCCTCAAGGTTTGTTACAGAATTCGGACAAATTGCCCTCAGGTGATACCGCAGTTAGCCTGCCAAAGTGGAAACACGATGCCTTTGTGCCCTCCTCCTCATTAAAGATGCCCTCCACTAATCTTGGCTGATGACGGCCCATTGTCACAGTTTTCCGCGGCTTTTGAAATATAGATGGAGTCTGATTGTCTGGTTGTAAGATGAGATGTTATAGTCTGTTGATACTGATTGTTCTCTGTTTTCCATTAGAGTTCATAGAGTGTGTATTGGGTCACTGCTTTTTTCCTGCCGCCTTATGTGTTTCCTGTTGGATATCGAGTGTCTTGCTGTTACCTAGCTGCAGTGCTATGCATGGCAGTTGTGTTTTTGTTTCGCTTCCTGAATGTTTAGGATCGGAGTCAGTTAATCCATTTGGAATACATTGAGACACTGATATGTTAAATTTTATCTACCATCTACATGACATCTACCTCCATACACCTACATTTACGTACACTTGACGGTATCTCAGTGACACCATGTAATCTCTCTGTCTCTGTGTGTGTCTCTCTCACTATTTCTTGTGTTTGTCCCACATTCATCTGAAAAATGCTTCCGTAGCCATGGCGACCAATCCCAAGGGGAAAAGTTGTGGCTGAATCTCTTTCTCACTCTCTTTTCCCTCCTTTGTCTCATGCCTCGTTGCAATCTAATGCTTTTCTTGCACACAAACGTACACACATACACTAGCATGCCAGAATCCAAAAGCAGAGGAGATGCAGTTTGTGTGAGTCACAGTGTTGTTTTGGTTTGAGCTCAATTAAGCACTGATGTAAAATACGTGACCTAATTACTGAGAAACAGTAAACCTGGGGATGGAGTTGAGGATGAATTGCTTTTTCCCCCTCAGTTTTCTGCACTTTCTTTCTTGCTGTCTTGCTTGTTAGTGGCCATGACTGTTCCACTTGAACTTTTAGACATTAAACACACAAAAGACACTGATGCAGAAATGCTATTGAAAAAAAGAAGGTGAAGATGAAGTGAGGAGGCAGAATAATGTCATAAGAAGTTGGAACTTGAAAAAGAGAGTCCTGTACTGATAAACAGAGTGAGTTGTCATTGCTCCGCTACAGAAGGGCTTCAACACACATATGTGTATGTGACCATGTGGGCTACCAAGAGGTGTTTCTGGGCACGTAGCCTCATCTGACATAGGTAATTTCAACCTTCTCCTTATTGACTTGTATCTTGCAAAGTATGTTTTTTTTGTTGTGTTTTTTTTTTAGCATTATCCTTTTACTTTGTAAATCTTAGTATGTGGTTTTTATGGATGTGGCTTTGTCAAGATGCTCAAAATGCAGAAGGTACAGTTTTGTGAATGCATAATATTCAATTGTTAGTTATTAACGACAAGTCCTGTACTTGTGGCTAGGTAAAGTTTAGGTTAGTACTAATGTAAACAGTATATTTTTGTGAAAAAGACATATCAGCCATGCCTTCACTTCTCTTCATCCCTTCTTTCTTTTCTAACAGCCTCATTCCCTTCACACCCTCTCCCTTGTTCTTTCATCCCCCCGCCTACACTTCCTTCCTTCCTGCTCCCACCTTTTTCGATTCACCCAGTTGTTGTCCTTCTCAGTTTCCCACTTTCTTCTGCTGTTTTTCTCCTTGCAGTTTTTATTCTTCACAATTTCTCCCTTCTCCCCCCCCCCATTCCCTTTCTTTAGCCTTGCACATCCCACCTTATGGCTCCATTATTCTTATCTGAATCAGTCACATCCTGTCATTTTCACCGTCTCTCACTCCTTTATGTCATCCTGTTTTGTCTCTTCCTGATCTCTCATCCCCCCCCCCACACACACACACATCCATCATACTGCACTTATCTCCCTCTCTTCACCACATACAGTAAACCTCTCTTCACTGCATACGGTAAACTATCTCTCAGTTTGTTTCTTTCCTCTCTTATTCTCTTGTTTCTAACCTCCCTTACACGTTTTTCTCCCTCTCTACCACTGTACACCCCCATCAATCCTGCCCTTCCTCCTCTCTCTCTCTCTCCTCCTGCTCCTTAACCCCCCCCCACCCCACTTGGTCCCTCCGTCTTCTCCCCTGAGTCAGAGAGACAGACAGGAAGGAAGTGTGTAATGAAACGACCATATCGAGCACACTGCCCAAATAGACCTGGAATGAATGGAGTCACTGATCAGCCCTTGCTAAAGCAGCGCAGATGAAGAAGTCTGGGGGTTGGTAGAGAAAATTAAACTGCCTAATGTAGCATATACATTTTATGAATACTTCTGTCAGAAAGAATGAGTACACAAACATGTTTACTTTCTCTATCTGTGAATCAATGTGGACAATTAACAACACTAGATGTGTGTTTACTTGGGAACTCATTTAAATGCTATTCTATTACTAGTTAGCTGTATTTGAAACAAAATTTGTATTTGAGTACAGAAGAAAACATTTCTGCTGAAGGAGGAAGCAATCTGCATTCTAGAGATTTTCTCCACTCTTTGAACAGTGAAGCAGACAGGCGAGGCAACAGCTAAAGAGAGTGAAAATTGGAAAAACACTGTCAAGCAGGAAGAGACAGAATGACAGGACGCACTCTCCCAAATCACTGAAGTTGTTCTATGTTTATTAATGCTCAAAATATAAGATTATGTCATCGGGAGGCCATCCTGTGAAATTAATTTCTTAAAAAT